GTCAGGTAGCAATAATTATCTTGCTTCAAGTCAGTAGCTCAACTGGAGAGTGCCAGAACATGGCAAGGCAAAATTGGCCATAATGCGTTTATCCAATAAGCCTCACTTGTTGATTGTGGGATCTGAAATTGGAGAGATTTCAATCTGTGAGATGTCTGGTCGTGCATTCCAGCGCCTTCACTCTCTGACTGGCCCAAAGTCATGGATATCACACCTTGATGTTGTGAGAAATTCTGTTGACCCTCATAGACAGGAAGATAGGAGTCTAATTGCCAGTGACAGTTTGAACGGGATTGGTTGATCCGTTAAGGTAATTGCGGATTTCAAGAATTAAAATGAAGAAAACTGAAGTCCATTTAATTATGTGGAGATCTTCTAGTACCTTAGTTCTCACTTCCATGTGAAAACTTTGTTCTTGCAAAATCTACATCTTCCAGCTCACATAACGTATGCAGATATAAAGGAAGTGAGAGAATTTGGTTTTGAGGGTAGGGCTAACAATTACCATTTCAGAGACAGAATTCATATACCGTGTTTTCATTTCTTACTTTTAAAAATAGGGGGTGCGTGATAGACTTACCTCCACGTGGTGCACCCTGGGCAACTTATACTCATACGGCAAAAAAGTCTATTAACTGGCGATTGACTTCTGGCGCAGTACTCATCCTACCTTTCCTCTGGCTTCATGTCTGTCTCTTAACATCTGTAAATCACTCTTCTGTTCCCCACCCCTCGACTTTCTGTTACTTTGATGTTCTTCCCCCCTGTGAAGCCCGAAATCAGCTAAAGGGCTAATGATATCTATCAAAACGCCTGCCATTTGAAATAAATAAACTTTTAAAAAAATAGCATTTTTGACATGCGTTGAACCATTCATTCAATAAAGCTCCAATGTATGAAATTTTTCCAAAAAAATGCAAAAGACATCGAACTGATAGCAAAAAGAGGAATATTAGAGCCATAATTGTAGCTCAGTTGATTTTCAAGAGCATTGATTACGCCATTGATGCTAGCATATCAGGCATATCTAGGAACTTAGACTTCATGGTAAGAACCAAACTCACATCTTAATCTCTTTTTTCATTCTAGGAGAATTCAATGACAATCATGGTGCACATTGCCTTTATTAATGGTTAAATTTAAGATGAAAATTTGTTATTTATTGATTCATTAAAATACACCCTCTCATATGCAGTACTTGTGAAAACCTGCTATGTTCAATGTATTCAATTACTAAGCCTGTTTGCTGTGAGCAGTGTATTTTGAACCATTATGAGAACAATTTATGCCCTGGCATATCCGCCAAAAATTGTAGCAAAATCAGGTGATAATTTCGCTTGGTATCTAAGTCCAGTGAAAATGGCACTCTATTTTCTTTCATTCCAGCCCCTATTCTTGGGAATGAAATCAAATGCGTTGTCATAATATCTATCTATTAGAGTTTATATAATAACTGGAATCACGATAAGTGTAAATTTCACTAAAGATCGATGCTCATTTCTAACTTAACGACACGTCCTTCAACTTTCCTAGCGAGCATGTGTGCCAAGTTGGAAGCAGCTGGTATCATTGCCATTAATTAATTCAAATACAACAATAAATTCAATTAAACCCTTTTTCCATTTTCTATTAATTTGGAATAACAATAATAATAGACTGTGATATCCGGAAATGCTCAAAACAGTTTTACATGCTTTAATGACAAACTCATTCTAGGGTTCAGGAACTAATATCAAATTATATTAGGGAAAACGATTTCAGTCAAAATTCTAAACCCTTTATTGGAGTCTTAAGACGAAGACAAAGCTCTTGCACACGAGGGTCGTTTCAACTTTGGTCATCCATCCGCAATTGTTTCCCATCTTCCATTCTACCATTTTTCTATGCTCAAAGAAGGAAAAACAATTGAAGTTCCATTATATCAATTCGTTGCACATTCCCGTACCGGCACTACCCTTAAAGTTGAATTGTGCCTTTTCAATAACCGCTTTTAATTATAAACGGCGGAATAGAAACAATTTTGGGTAACACAATTTGATCTACTGGTAATAACAAGAGGAAAATTGTAAGGCCAGCTTGCAATGACATAATGCATGAGGTCAAGTGAAAGTTCATTAAAATTTAATTTAAAACATTATATTTGCAAAACGCGGGTGTGCGATAGACTTACCTCTACGTGGTGCACCCTGGACCACGTATACCCATACGGCAAAAAGGTCTATTAACCGGCAGTTGATGTCTGACTTCAAACTACCATGACCTGAATCCATGTCATATTCGATCATTTCTACAGTACTTACCTCACCATTTCCTACCTTTGTGTCTGTCTCTTTTACACATTTGAAAAACTCTTCTGTCTTTCCCACCCCTCTCGACTTCTTTTCACTTTGATATTCCATCCCCTCTGTGAAGCCTACAGTCAACTAAAGGGCTGATGATAACTATCAAAACGCCTCTCATTTGATATAATAATAATAAAAATTATATTTGCAAAACTGAGGCCGATAATATTGATGGATTCCATGACCCAACGTATGAATTAGGTGAATATTGACTTTTCATTATCGAATCCAAGCAATATTTTAATTATTCACAAAGCAACTGGCTTATTACTGTAATTTCCATTAATGAATTTAAGGTGATAAACTGCGTATTATTTGCAAAATCGTTAGAGAGTTTCGAAACTAATCTTATGTCTAATTTAGAACGACGAGTTCACAACGAAGTTTAATCCATTTTAAGACACTTTCTGATGAAGACAAAGATCTTGCACATGAGGGTCATTTCAACTTTGGTCATCCATCCGCAATTGATTCCCAGCTGCTATTCAACCATTTTTCCATGCTCAAAGAAGGCAAAACAATTGGAGTTCCAATATATTATGGGGCACTTTATTACAGGCGCGCACATTAGGCTTAAGGTGCTGCCCCGGATACATTTACACAACGACTGGATGACATCACTAAGCAGTTAAAAGAAATAAAGGCGCTTATGGCAGCCTCTGCTTCACGCGCCAAAGAACGGCGCCCTGATTCATCTAGAGGGCGTCGGAGTCCATCAGAGCATGACAACACCATATGTTACTACCATCGAACCTTTGGTGACAGAGCCAGGAGATGTAAGCCTGGATGCTCATACGCAAAGACCAAAGCATGTCGCCCCTCGGGAAAATCCCACTGCAGGCAGTAAAGGCGACGACGGATCCTGACAGCTATCCTAGTCGCCTGCTATACATTACAGACAAGACTCCGAACTCACATTCTTGGTGGACACAGGTTCCGAAGTCAGTGTTATTCCACGGTCTAAAAAACGCTATACTCAAGCCACCAGGACCTCCCTTGTAGCAGCAAATAATGCCCAAATACACGTCTATGGACAAAAGTTCCTTAATCTGGACCTAGGCCTCTGTCAAGAGTCCCCGTTTACCTTCTATTTCGTGGACGTCCAACAGTTCATCACTGGTACCGATTTCCTCTCAAGATTCCAGTTATGGGGTGTGCGATAGACTTATCTCCACGTGGTGCACCCTGGGCAACGTATATTCATACGGCGAAAAAGTCTATTGACTGGCAGTTGACTTCTCACTTCAAATTACCACCACCTCACTCTATGCCATATTCGACTATTTCACAGTACTCTCCTCACCTTTGTTCTACCTTTGTGTTTGTCTCTTACATCTTTGAAACACTCTTCTGTTCCACTCCCTCTCGACTTTTTTTCAATTTGATGTTCCTTCCCCTCTGTGAAGTCTGAAGTCAACTAAAGGGCTAATGATAACCATCAAGACGCCTGCCATTTGTTATAAATAAATAAATAAACAAATGGATTCCAGTTATTAGTCGATCTCAAAGACAACGCTCTACTGGACAATCTTGCATCCATGCGTGTGACCGACTCGACACGGTCCTTACGTTTTGTAGGTTTGAACGGGCTCTTCCCGGTAGACAATTTATACACGAGCATTCTATCAGCATTTAACTCCATCTTTCGTTCGCAGAGATTTCATGGACCAAGCATAGTGTCCAACATCATATTACCACAAAAGGGCAACCTGTTTTGGCTAGAGCCCGAAGCCAACATTTTCCCCATTAATTTTGGTTTCAGAAATATAAGCAATTTTATCGTGTCGACGATAGTTTAATCGTCAATACTTGGAAGAAATTTGCACCTATAGATTTTAAGCGCAGATAGCAGCTGATTTTGGGAACTTTTGGACTTCATTAAATTCATCTTAAAACATTAAAACCATCAATCTTTTGGGTAAATGAGTTGACCGCAAATGTTAGGAATGAGCAATGTCTAATTCACCTTCCTTAATTGCCATAGTGAAGACACACCAGTGCCATGAAACCGGTAGTCTTATTACCAAGCTACGCAACGCCTATGGCATTGCATTCTATTTGCACTGGAAACTTTTAAATTCAAAAATACTGGTAAGTAGTCTTAATTTTATTTTAGTTTTCTTATTAACTCATTGCGAGTATCTTAACATCTTATTTATTTATCGCGAAATTGCAGGCGTTTTAATAATTATCATTAGCCCTATATCTGACTTCGGGCTTTACAGAGTGGGGAAATTCCAAAGTGTTGAAAATTCAAGAGAGGGGATAGAAAAGTGATTGACAGATATAAAAGGGAGAGATAGGCAGGCAGACACAAAGAACGAAAAGGTAAGTTGTGTACTGTGGATTGTTTTAATTTGAAATAATATCGGGTCAGAGTAGATAGAAGTCAGAAGTCAAACTCCCAATTGTTAGATTTGTTTGTCGTACAAGTATACGTTGCCCAGGGTGCACCAAGTGAAGTCACGTCAATCCATCACTCCCGTATCTTTATATATGACATGACATCTCTCGCCGCCCTTTCTCTGGCTTGACATGGTTCTAACCAACTGTCTAGCATATATTATATATCAATGGGGAGCATAAACACTGTGAAAATGTGCCGCTTACCTCCACTTGTACTGTAGAATGCCAAGAGGTAGGTAATACACTTAATTTTAAAGCGCTCTTATCTAACCCTTAATATTTCTAAATGCCAAGTATAGCGTACCTACCTCGTCGCTTTAATTAGGGTTAACTTATAAGTTCAAACAGCTTAAATACAAAAATCTTCTTAATTTATTTCATTTAAGTCATAATGCTAAATCACAAGCGCTCAATATTTTGTTAAATGCAATCCAGGGAGAAGGCCTTTACTTTAGTATTATTTTCAAAAACTGATTACCCTCAATAATCCTATAGTTGAAATTTCATCTGACCCCAAAATCACACTTCCAATACTAGCATCTATTAATTTGTCCGCCCTTACCACATAAGTAGTGTGTTCACTCTACTGGGCATAATTAGGCGGGGATGGGAGGAGGAGATTTAAAGAAGCATGCTCCTATTTAACTTCATCAGATTCAATGTGGGAATATTACAACGATTCAAAAGTGCAATACCACAAGTATGGATTTCTAAAGCCATATTCTCTTTGTCTAGATGTGGCACTTAATGGGCCAAGATTTGGCTTTCAACAGAAACC